GTGAAGATGACGCTCCGGGGGTCTCCCACGGGGTCGGCGGAGGAGATGACGCTCCTGAGGTCTGCCGCGGGGCCGAAGGCGAAGCCAACGCTCCGGGGTTCTGCTGCGGGGCCGGAGGCGAAGCTGACGCTCTGGGGGTCTGCCGCGGGAGCGAAGGCGAAGCCGACACTCCGGGGGTCTGCCGCGGGGCCGAAGGCGAAGCAGCTTCTCAGGAGGATGACGCCCACACTTCAGCAGGTACCCCCACGGAGTACCCCGTCCCCTCCTCGGCAGCTAAGGAACAGGCTCCGTAGTGACCGCCGACTGCGGCTCTGGAGGAGGCTCTGAGGAGACCGCCAACTGCGGCTCTGGAACAGGGTCTGGAACAGGGGAGCCCGCCGATTGCGGCTCTGGGTCTGGAACAGGGGAGCCCGCCGATTGTTGCTCCGGGTCTGGAACTGGGGAGCCCGCCGATTGCGGCTCCCGGTCAGGAACAGGGGAGCCCGCCGATTGCGGCTCTGGGTCTGGAACAGGGGAGCCCGCCGATTGCGGCTCCGGATCAGGAACAGGGGAGCCCGCCGATTGCGGCTCCCGGTCAGGAACAGGGGAGCCCGCCGATTGCGGCTCCGGATCAGGAACAGGGGAGCCCGCCGATTGTGGCTCCCGGTCAGGAACAAGGGAGCCCGCCGATTGCGGCTCCGGATCAGGAACAGGGAGGACCACTGACCGCGTCCCAGGAACAGGCCCACAGGAGACCGCCACCTGCGGCTCCTGGACAGGAACTGAGGAGCCCGCTGACCGCGGCTCCACATCTGGAACAGGAGAGACCACCGACAGTGGCTCCACATCCGGAACATGAGAAACCACCGACTGTGGTTCTGCCTCAGGAACTGGGGAGGCCACCGACTGTGACTCCACCTCAGGAACAGGAGACACCACCGACTGTGGTTCTACCTCAGGAACTGGGGACACCACTGACTGTGGCTCCACCTCAGGAACTGGGGACACCACAACTGTGGTTCTACCTCAGGAACTGGAGAAAACACAGACCGTGGCTCCGTCTCAGGAACAGGGGAGAACACCCATGGAGGCTCATGTTCAGTCTCAGAGGTGGCTTGAAGCATCTGTAGAGAGGTCTTGGCGGTTTGTGGACCCTGCTGAGAGGCTATTGGAGGCATATCTTCACCAACTCCGAACTATGAAACCCACTTAAGTTTATGCTCAGGGGTCTCTGGACGGCATAGGGCAGACTCAGGGGTCTCAGGACGGCACAGGGCAGGCTCAGGGGTCTCTGGATGGCACAGGGCAGGCTCAGGGGTCTCTGGACAGCACAGGGCAGGCTCAGGGGTCTCTGGACGGCACAGAGCTGACCCAGGCATCTCTAGACGGCACAGAGCTGACTTAAGGCGACGCCGTTTCTTACGCCAAAGGGGTCTTTGGAGCGGAGCTAACTGGTTTGATTACTGATTCTGGCAACAAGTTAACGTGTTGAAAAATTAGCGTTCCAGAACGGATTACTGGTTCAGAGGCTAGAGAATCAGGCAAGGTAACAGGTTTAGAAACGTAGGTGACTGGTTCAGGTGTCTGATCAGGCTGGCGGGGAACTCTAACAGTTTGAGATGTAACTTGTGGGCCTATTTTGAGTCCTTTAACAGACGGAGCTAAGTGACGATCGCGTAAATGAGAGCTGAGACTAACCTGGCGCAGAACGGAGCTGGATCTGGTTTGTAGTTCAATGTCCAGCCCAATAGCTAGCTCTATGAAGTCCTCCAAGTTAGCTGGCTCATCGTAAAAAGCTAGCTTGTTTCTAACTGGTTCATTCAGAGCTAAGAGATAAGCAGTTTTGAGCGCAGACTCGTTCCACCCAGAAACGGCAGCTTTAACCCGGAAATCAATGGAAAATTCGGCAACGGATCTATCTCCCTGTTTTGTTTCAAAAAGTCCACTAGAAACGATGGACTTATTTGAGACTCGGTTAAAAGTCCTTTCAAAATCCTGAATGAATTTCTCATAGGTACAGTTAACTCTAATTTTAGGCGGAAATCTGGTCTCCGCCCATTCAAGGGCTTCACCGGACAGAAAAGAAAAGACAAAAGCTATTCT